GGGTTTGGATGATCCAAATCTCTTTGTCCCACAGGTTTGGACGTCCACTTACTTATGCAAGTAGTTTGGACGTCCAAACTAAGTCAAGCTTGCCATCCAAGTTATAAATTAAGTCACATAGCTTTGATAATGACATCTCAACAACTTGTTAAAAGTAATCATTAGTTTAGTAGTTGTAATGATTAGGTTAGTTAGATGGAGTTAACTTAAGCTAACTTAGGTTATTCTTAAAGTAGGATTAACTTAATTTGTTCCATAAGTTTCTAGATAATTAACTAGACTTATAAAAATTAGAGTTTGTTAGCTTAAGTACAAGATAATTAATCATGATTACACTTAATCATGGTTAGTCTAGCTTGCACTATAAGTCAACTAAACTCTATATATTGTAGTTTTAACCCATTTTGTACTAGTTTTGAGTATTATACATGATTTGGATGAAATTCTTCTCCAAATTCTCTTTCAAAGCTTATTTCTCTCTTTGAAATTCTTCTTTTTCTCTTATCCTTTTCTTGAGTATGGTGAAAATTTGAATAGACTTATCACACTTCAAGAGTGTGGCGTTACCTAAGAAACCAAAAAGTTAAAGATCTATTCAAGAAGTTTTAAGGAGAAACTATATCAATCAAGTTTTTCCTAAGGTTTCCATCATCGTCTATAAATTTTTTAAAAAAACTTGAAAACTATTTGATACTTTATTTCATTAATTCAAATTGATGGATAATCATAAAATTTGCAAACTTGATCTATACATTAAGAACTTTTAATTCAACGACTGAACCATTAAAATTTGAATTTTGGTTGCTACGTGACTCTCATTTTACTGTAATGAAAGCCTATTTATAGGAGGGGAAGGAAGGCTCACTGAATTTACGGATTTGAGTACATTCTTATCTCCGTAATGATTTGTAATTGTGATTCAGTAAATTTCAATTCAGTAAATTTGAGTTCCGCACATGTGCTTAATTTCAGTTAACTTACGGATTCACATCTATATCCACTGCACACTGCACACTGCACACTGCTTACGTATTCAGCACATAAATGCTTTGCCACAACACCTGTACATTCACATCTATATTCACTGCACATCTCTTGTACATTCACATTCCCTTTTTCTCTCATTTCATGCTTTGCCACGTATATCTGTACATGTACTACGTGAATATATAGAAGCCGTTTGCCATGAATCTGCGAGTGTATATATACTACAAAATTATCTTATCATAGAAATTCGTTGATAAGATTGAAAAAAATTTATTCAATTACTATAAAACTCATCCGTATTAACTATCTACATATGTATATATAAAATTTAATATAATGACTTACATTAAATATTTAAGATTTTAATACTAATAATTAAAATATTCTTTTAAAAGAATTATTAAATATCTCTAAAAGTATAAAAATCATTAAATAATTAATTATTAAATATTTCCCTTTTAATTTGCTAAAAGTATATAAATCATAATGTATCAAATTAAAATATCTATATTTATCAACTATTTAAAATATAATAACTATAATTTTAGACTACTATTTTAAGAATAATATAATAATAACAAGGTTGAGAATATTGTAGTAAAAATTTCAGAATATTACATTTTCTATCATCATATTATGTATATATGTATGTTGATTTTATTTGCACTAGCTTACCCTTTGTTGTTTCCATGATGTTTGGACTGCAATGATCATACTATGTATGGGAGCAGAGCAGGGATAGGTGGGTGACTAGTGGTGAGTCTTCAACGGACCGGTGGAGCTGATCTCTTTTGTGATTGTTTTGTTGTTGAGCTACTTGGGGTAGTAGCACTTGATTGTATTTCCGTACACTTTAACTCTGTTCAGATTGGATCATGTATATGTATATTCTAGACTCTATATGTATACACGTGTTCTTTTCTGTACGGTGTTTCTAGTGTGTTGTGCCGTGCGTAGTGACCAGCCGGGTCGTTATATATATATATATATATCCTCTTTTAACCGCTCATTATTTAGAAATTCGATCTATTGTTATTATAATCATTGTTTGTTTATATTAATAGTAAAATAAATTATAACAATAATAGTAAAATCATGTAGTGATATTATATATATTAATTTTATTTAACTTCTTTCAGAATAAAAATTAATTATCTAACTTTTCCTCCAACATAATTTGTAACGACCCGTCTAGCCGTCACACAGCAAAACACCACAGCACCATACAGACAAGAACATGCATATATATAAGCAGCTAAAATATATACACAAGATCTAGTCGGGCTTAACAAGTCAATATACAAAATATATCAACCAAATAGCTATACAAGGTAGCTAAAATAGCTATACAACGTAGCTAAAATAGCAAAACATAAAAAATACATCCACTGCATCTATCAGCTACAAACCTGCCTCAAGACACCAACCTATCCCTACTCTGCTCCCATACACAGTATGATCATTGTAGTCCAAACCACATGGAAACAACAAAGGGTAAGCTAGTGAAGAGAATCAGCATATATAGATATATAAGTACAGGAATTAGAAACAACTACAGCTTAACAAGACATCATCTAGTTCGGGAATTATCAGCATACAACTCATCACATATACAACTCACATCATTCAGCAAAAATAGCAGTAAGCACACACTACGTCGTCACGCATATCAGCTCAGAGATCTCCTACAATAGCTCAGCCTTACGACCTACAACAGCTCAGCCTTACGGCCTACAATAGTTTATATCAGCATGCAGCACAGCACAACAAAACAGCAATAACAGCATACAACTTATAGCACAACTCAACTTTTTCAACTATACAGCTTAACATCGTAATTAAGCATTACAACAAATTTTTTAACCAGTTCAACAATATTCATCACTAACAGCTCAGCTTAGCAAACATCAACTTATATCATCATATAACAACATATAACAGCATATAGGAAAACACCCATCCACGCCCGGCGTACTCATGGTTACGTCCGGCGTGGCCCAACCAGAGAGCAACAAGGCTCAAACGCGCCTGGCGCAATTCCAATTGCGCTTGGCGTGCTAGGAGGCAGAGACTCCAAAGAGCCTCACACGCCCGGCGTGCCAAACCCGCGCTCAGCACAAGGAAGACAGAAACCTTCCCAAGGCTCATGCCCGACGCAATACCAATTGCGCCCGGCGCCACCTCTGGCAGAGACTCCCAAAGAGTCTCCACGCTCGACGAGACGTAGTCACGCCTGGCGTAACACCAGAAACCCAAAAGCTATGTTACCTACTAATATCGCGCCCAACGCGGTTCAATCATGCCCGGCGTGGGCCATCTAGAAGCTCCTATCCTCAAGCTCGCCCGACGCACACAACCTTGCACCTGGCGGGCTTGTCCAATAGAGTCCTCTGATGGTCACGCACCCGGCGCCAAGAACTGCGCCCGGCGTGATACCAAGCAGCAACTCATCATGTTCGCAAATTTTCTTCAAAACCTGCATAATCAAGTCATCCAAACACATGCAATCGGCCTAAAACTCCACATTTTCACCCAACAATACAAAAACCAGCTCATTTTCAGCATGCAACCACAAATCATCAAAATCCCCAAATTTCATCAAAAACCCTGAAACCCCGAAAACCCACTTTCATCAACCACAGCCATCAATCATCAAATCATCCAACCATTCATGAGTTGCTAAACTCATTTTCGTACAGTCAGCCTGAATCCTAGTTTCCCTTACCTCGGTGTGAAGAATTCCGAGCTCCAGGAAGAGAAAAGGCTCAACGAAGAAGAAGAGGAGAAGGAGGAAAGGGTTCCGGCTTCCAGCTAGCTTCCAAACACACTCAAGAGAGAGCAAGGATCAGAAGAGAGAATGACAGCCAAAAGAGTAAGAGTGAAAATGTGAAAGAGTGAGAGTTGAGAGTGAAAAATGAAGTGAGGGAGAGAAAGGGAAACGAAAAGAGGGAATGGGGTTTCACATAATTCGAAATATCTACTTTTATCCTTAATATTCATTTAGTAATTTAGAAAAAAAAATTAAAAGTGTCTCATATTGGCACGCCAATATCGCATATAATATGGAGACTTGACTTTCCATTATAAGATCATTAGCAAATAATTAATTTTACATATAAAGATGGCAAAATATCCACACTTACGAATATTTAAGGATTAAAATTGTGATCGGTAAAAAGCATGCAGTTTTAATGGATACATGGAAGTAGTGACACGAATATTCTTTTATTATTTGTTTGTTAATTAGATAGGTATTAATATTTTTAAGTATTCACTAATTAATGTTAAATTACCTTATTTAAGAGGGAGAGAGGATAAATTCACTTGTTCTAGTAAGATTTGATAGATTTATTATATTTAATAACTTAGGTTGATTTTTAACGATTCAATTATTGATTTAAAAATTCTTAAAACATAAATCAAAATTTTGATTTTTTTAAAATTTAAAAATTATTTAATACTTCATTATATTAATTCAAATTGATGGATAATTATAAAAAATATTTTATACATTAATTTTAATTTATATAATAAAGTATCATATGATATTTAATTTTTTTTTAAAAATTGTAAATTTAATTTGTACATTCAAAACTTTTAATTTAACAATTGGATTGTTGAAATTAGATATAGAATGTGAGTTAAAATAGAGCTAATAGTCTACCAAAATTTAGGAGATCTTTCCTTATCCTAATTTTACATAATTTTTCTTTCTTTCTTTGACAAACAAGATATACAGGATTGAATTATTTTTGTTTGAAAATATGATATTTAAGTATTTAAATTTAGTTTCTAAATAATTGTTGTATTTTGATTAATATTGTTGAGTAAATTGCGTAAAATATTTAAATAAATCTAGTTATATGGTCTTTAAACTACTTAAAAAAGCAATCATGATTAATTAAAAGTTGTGCTTAAAATATTTTTAAGTTAATATTCAAGAATATTCTTAAATATTTATGGATGTTGAGAAAATTAGGTGCTCTCCACATATACAAGAATGAGTACATGACTTATATTTATGTTAGCTAGACGAGTTACTACTCATACCAGTGCTTTGTTCACATTCCTAATAATAACAATTAAAATCAAAAACTATAATTTAGTATTTTTTGAGAAATGAAAAACAGAATTACAACAACCAAAATCAAAATCTACTTGTTATGAACTAACTTTTTTTTAAAAAACATATTATCAAAGGTTATATCTAAACTATAACAAAATGAAATTTATTTTTTTATATGGAGAAAAAATACAGCTTCAAACTCTATTTCTTTCATGAGCCAATTTATTAAGCAAAGCAGCTAGTCCCTTCCTTTTCCTTGATCCTTGAGAAGGAGATGATGATGAAGGAGGAGGAGGATGAATGATGATCTGGGTAGTTGGTTGAATGAGATGAGGAAAATTGAGTCTGGCTTTGGAGCCTCTAATCTTGAAAGCTGCATTGTCATAAGCCAAAGCAGCTTCCTCTTCAGTGTCATAACTTCCAAGCCAAATCCTACCATCTTTGCTTGGCTCCTTTATCTCTGCAGCAAACTTTCCATGTGCCCTACGCCTCACTCCTTTGTACCTCTTCCATGTCCGAACCTCATCTTCTTCTTTACCACCCTCCACACCAAGGAACAAATTCTCGTTTGAGACCAAATCATCGTTGCCTTCATCATCAACCATGTACTGTTCAATAGGGTCCCAAAGTGTACTTCTTGTTGTTGTAGCAGCAGTATAATAATTATCCATCTTCTTTAAGTGTTTAAAATTTTTGTAGACAAGTTTGTTGTTGTTAATACAAGGTTGTAAGGAACTGAGGACCATGCATGCATATGGGACTATATATTTATATACAATATGGTACCTTTTTTGGCACAAGCATACTCAGTCATTTACCGACCATCCTATATATTAATATTTTGAGAAAATGTTAACACTCCTTTTTTTTATTATTTTTATTTTAATAGTTAATTTTTTTAAGAATTATAAATTTTATCACTAAATTAAGAAAAAGACTCATAAAATAATGAGACTGCAAGGTTTATGATTTCTCGTATGATATTTTTTTCAATAAAATCTCAATTTATAATTAAAAATAAGAAAAACATGATTTAAATAATTAAAAAAATGAGCTTTTGAGACTGAGTGAAAAATTCTAAATGAAAAAAAAAAATTACTCTGATATTGTTAGACAAGTGTCACTGCTCACTAGCATTCCTCTTACAAATTTTATGCATATATTCACAATGAATGAGTTATGATGGAACAGAATAAAAATTTTGGAGAAACATGTTTTGTTAGTCTCGTACAATTAGTACATGAAAAACGAGTTCCAACACGATGAGACAGATTCACTGCATTTAACCAATTCAAGTCGATTTGAATGCATATTTTATTTACGTGAGTGGGTATTTTCTCTCAAACTGAAACCTCTTAAATAAGAAAGGAATCTAACTCTTTATCTCTTGAATCCACGGATACACATTGCTATCCCAATCAATCAGTTTTCACGTTTTCTTAAATGTTTATACTTTATATATTTAAAATAACAGAATATGGTATGTATATCCTTTATTCACTCTAAAGTGTATCAAAATATTGGCCAATGAAATTTGGCACTTGAGTCCCTTAAATATTTTTTATGAAAGTTTGATTCATAGTCATGTTATAAAAATTAAATTGATAATTTCTACACTTCTAACAGAAATTAGTTTGTAGTAATTATTAATTAAAAACAACTTAGGTGCCTACTAAAAAAATATTTACTTGCTGCTCAAATTTAAATATACTGTTACTTTTGACAAGACTTGTATACAGTTTTATAAATGTTACTTGTATTGTTCTTAGATTAGAATCGAAGTTTTCCGTACTATGGTAATCTGCAAAAATATGGGTTTCAATTAAACGTTTTGATTGAAGAATAACAGAAGCAGGACAAGAACTTGTCAATCAAATTTTTTGACCAAAATAAATGCTTCACTTGACATGTTGAAAATAAATAAATGGCACGTGACAAATACAGTTGGCCATATCCATTCGCTGACCTAATTTTACGAACCAAGAATGAGCTATCATAATTTCATAAAAAGTCAAATGTTTTATTCTTTTTCCATAAATTTATGTTTAATCTTCAAATTTAAAAGTTGATATTTTTAATCCTTATAATTTTTAAAAAAATTATTTAAATTTGTTAAAAATTTATTTAATAGTATTTTTGTGAGAGAAAATATTACGTTAAATTTGGTTAATGATGTATAACTATTTTAAAAATATATTTAAAATTTTAATAAATTATTGACGGTCTTGTCGCATAAAATAGTTTTGGAAACTTCTGACGGTGGAGTGAAAACGCGTGAGAAAAAAGAAACACATGAGAGGCGATTTTGACCAAAATAGTATTATTTAAAAAATTGTTCAACAAAAAAAAAAGAAATAATATTTACTTGAATTTAGACACGCTGAAAAGCAGTTTAAAAAAGCATTAGTCTAGGTGGTTTAGCTCTTTGCAAGGATTTTCTTTAAGTTTAAAAAAATTGTTTTCATCCCTTAAAAATATTTTTATTAGACCAAATTAGTTCTCTCATCAGTTTATTTCATTATCAGTATTTATTTTTGCATATATAGTATGACCCATAATTTGTCATGCGTGATGTCAATAAATTAATCAAATTAATGTGATAATTTAACGAATTTAAAATGAAAATTTTCAAATTTAAAGGCCTAACTTAAAACAAAATTAAAATTATATATTAACTTTGAATAGTAAGTTTTATATCATGAAAAAAAAAAGTTTTTTTTTTCACTGAAACTTTGAATATTAAGTATTAATTATCACGTGTTAGTACTTTTATGGATGACACAATATTACACGTGGAGCTTTGAATGTTTTACTTACATGTAATGAAGTTATTTTCAAGAAAGCTACAATACGTAGCAATAAATACAATGTTCCTAATGTAGGATATACAACATCAAATGCTATTTCATAAACTTTCAGTCGATTTAGGATTACTTGGACGAAATTAGAGAAGATTAAGTAACAAATTAAGTTAGTTTGAGTAAATAAGTTAATAATATATTTATGTAAATTTTAAGGATTTGTTCCATAATCATATATGATAATTATCCTATCATATTATAATCAATTTGCTTATTTTGTCAACATAATATAATAATTTTGTTCAATCTTTTATTCTTAATGTGTTACTCCAATGTATTTTTTTTTATTATGAGAAGAGAGTTGAGTTTGAAAGTAATAAAATGTGATAAGTTATTCTCTTTTATCTCTTATCTCTCTATATACATTATGTCATATATTACATTATGCATATTAAATAATGTATTTATATTAACATATATTATTAATAAAAAGAGGTATATTTTTTTAGTGTACATTTGATCATTTATACCTTATAATTTTTAAAATATTTTTTATTTAGACTTTAGTATAGTCTTTAATTAATTGTCTATAATCACTTGTGCTTATTTTTAACATCTCTCTAATATTTAACATCAAATACATAAAAGACATAAAGTATCTTTTGTATACTAGTTTATATATATTTATATATATATATATATATATATATATATATTCAT